CGGGCGGGTGGGTTTGCTGCCCGGTCAGGCCTCTTCCATCCTTCATCTGCTCCCACCGGCCTTTCTTCAAGCGAGGACATTAAGAACTTCTTACGGGGCGTTCGCAGTGCTGCGCTCCCCCACCCTGCAGGGTGGTTCTTCTCTGGCTGTTCGTGGCCGGGTGCGATTTTGTCTTGTCTGGGGTTTGTAGTGCCGGTTATTTCAAGTTCCTACAACTCACAGTATATTTCTGCGCGGTTGTTTTGGCATTTGGGCTTATCTCGTTAACGCGTTGGCTGGTTTTATTTTTGATCTGGGGTTGTTTTTACTGCGCAGCTCCATCAGTCTGTTCCTTTACTAGAAACTTTCCCTGATCTGAGCTGTTCCGCTTCATCCAGCATCTTCTCTCGGGTGCGGGGTTGTATTTCTGTCGCCGGAGTCTCTCGCAGATGTCTGTCTGAGCTCGGTCCTGCTCAGCGTCTGTTCGTTATTCCTCGGCTTCTGCTTTAAGTAATGCTCTTGTCCTTTCCCGAGTTAGCTGCCTGGGTCTCCGTTATCGAGGGAGACGAGCCTGACTTGTCTGTTGATGTCGCTATTTTCCCTCCAGAGTCCCCCAGCAGTTAACGCACTCGGTGGTCTTTTCTTGAGCTGCGTTCCCCCAGCGTAGCTCGCTCAGAGAAGGATCTTAGAGAAAGGCGCTGGCAGCTCTAAATTTCTTTCTTCCTGCTCGGTGACTGAAGCTGAACTTCCAAGGGTGGATGCGATAGGACAGGGGCCAAACCTTGTTGTAATTGCGCCTGGGATCATCGGATGCCGCAGGGACCTGGCTGCTGACCTTCCCCTCCGCTAACGCACCCTTCTCTCCCTCTTTCCGCAGGAAAGCGAGGATGGCATTGAAGGAGATGGTGAGTAACAACTCCCTGGTATTGCAAGTGCTGTCTGCATATAAAAAGTAAAAACGGGACAAAATGCCTTTTCCAAGAGTCCTGCAGTGGTTGTCATCCCAAATATTAATTCGTAGTAGCAGGCAAACATGGGGTGTGGGGACAGCGTGCCCCAAACTCGCCCTGGCTTCCTCCTGTGTGAGCTGGCAATGGTGTTTGTGGGGACGCCTTGGTGCTGGCCCCCGACTTCCCCTTGGAGGGACCGTTCGGTGCACGTTTGCCAGCGGTCGCCCACAGCGCGGCGTGTTACGCTCAGAGAGAAGCTGTTGTTTCTGTTTCTGCCCTGACACCAAACTCCTTTTTCTCCCCTGCAGCTGTACTCTCAGATTACGAAAGCGCAGAAGACTCGGAGGTAAGAGGAGTCTCTATCCTGGTGTTTAAAGGGTTCTGTCAAGTGACTGCATCTTGCGTAATTTTAGCACAAAACCCAGTTTGTGTCCTTCGTTCTCTTCCACTGACCCCGTCGGCAGCAATTTTCCTTTGTCTCAAGATACCAGCTCGTGCAGAGACTGGGAGCGAGCTGCGCTGCGGCGTAGCTGTCACCGCTGCAGAGGAAAACAGTCTCTCCTGGTCCGAGCCCCTCGCCGGGCAGTTCTCTGGCACAAAATCCATGGTGCTGGGCAGCCGGGGCGTGGATGTGGGCCAGTACGGGCGGAGGAGAAAAACCGCCTGGCTCCTCAGACGTTGGATACCGGGAGCGGGGTTTTCCATGGCCAAGAAGGGTGTGGAAGGAAGCGTAGGATGCTTGTTGCGTTTTAATTAGTTGAAATTAAAAAGCTAAGTGCTGGATTGGAAGCATCCTAGGCAGCATCCCTGTCTTCTGCGTACAGCAGCTGGAGGGGTAACGCGCCCCGTGAGTGCTGGCAGCTCTGCGCTGGGTGCGTGCTGAGAAAATCCCCCCTCACGTGCCGGGAAGGCAGCCTGGGCAGTGGCCTGTGGCCGGCCGTAGGGTTCCCTGGAATTTTTTGGTTCAGAACTGTAAGTTTAACATCTTCAGGAAGTTTAGGGGAGTTCTGGTTTTGAACAATTACAATGAAAGTTGTTCTAGTGAAAACTTCTTGTGAGACAGCTGTTTTGGGGGTATTGAGGGGGGGCAGCAGTTAGAGAAAACAAAACAACAAGGTGGATGAACTTGAAGCTCGTAGGGACTGTTAATTTGCGAATTAATCTCTGCCGTTAGTGAGGAGGGAGTGCGGCGGGCTGTAGAGGCGGCGCGTGG